AGAGACAGTGAATTTTTATGAAGATTATTGCGTTTTTTTTTTACTTTGGACGTCATTCTCAAGTGAGAATTTCTTTTTTTCAGTATCTTTAAATTTAATATTTTTATTTTATGTACAATTTTTTTATGTGATAATTGTTCTCATTTTCTCTCTCTCTATGTTTAGGTACTTTGTAATTCTGATTTTTCTATTATTTATATTAATAAAATCTAGTTAGTATTTAAAAATAATTATTACAATTTAAATTGGAGAAAATCAAATCTATTAGATTATGCAAGTAGCTCCACTTTCAAAGCGGTGTCATTGAGAACAATTTCTATCACATTCCCGCTTATGAAATATGTTGGTCAATATATATTTGGTTTATAAATTGAGATCAACTACGAGTTAATTACCCAAATATAGTTTAGAAATCCTTTTTTAATTTGTCACAAATTGTTTTTTTTAAAAAGGTTGTTTGTAACTTCAGTAAATAAAAATCATTTATTAAGATTCATTATTTGATCGAATAATTAAAGATGTTTAAATTATTTCATTTTGTGTAAATTCAAATACCAACATCTTTTTTAATATTTACTAAATCTTCACTTAATTAAAATAAAAATAAAAATCATTTATCATGCTTATTTTTTAAAATATATATATATATATATATATATCATTATTTAAAATGGTCTAAAATTATGGTTGGCATAATTCAACAAAACAAAACAAAACAATTCAAATCATGATTTGAAAATCATTGCCTGCAGAGAGTAGACAAAAATTCGCCACTAAAATTGTAAGGTTACGTCATTCTCTCAAACATTGACTTTTGTTGTGTTCTTAACCCATTGTTTAATTTAATTTATTTGTCTATGTTTATCTGATGCAGAAGGAGAAGACAAAGAAAAAAGGCAACACATATTCCACCATCCAACATGAAACTAATAAATTATTTGTTTCTGTAGTATGATCATACGCTGTCAAAGATTTGTCACTATGCTTAAACCCCGGACAACATGATCACTAATACATCCAATTATTAACTCTAATCATGATGTTTTTGCATGTATTATTTCTTTGGGGGGTCTTATTTGTATTCACCCCACGTTTGGCTAAAATTAAGTACAACCTCAAGAAGAAAAAGTTGCGGTTAAAAGGAAAATTTAAGTTCAAACATGGAAAGGAATATTATTGACAAAACAAGTATTAAATGAAGATAGTAAAATGAATATCGATGGTTAAAAAGAAATATTGAAATCTTAAACTTGTTGTATAGAATAGCTTAAGGTTTGGTTATTAGGGCAGAGAAGGAAGAGGATGTGTGCATGGAGAAGGAAATGTCGGTTTCAAGTTTGGATGAATTGAAAACGAGACAGAAAGGTGATTGCGGAAGGAAGAAAAAAGAGCTGTTAAAGGTTTAAAAAGAAGACAAAGCGGAGAGAATGTGTCCATATGTGGGGGACTAGCTAGTAGAAGTGTTTTGTTTTGCTTGCATTATTAAAACAGTTGAAAGGTATGTTACATAATCGAGCATGGGAGAAAAGAAAATGGAAAAGGGAAAGGAAAAGAGGTTGGATAGGCTCTTTCTCCTATATATGAATGGCATTAATGAGCACCTGGATTCTTGCAAAACCATCATCTTCTTTATTGGGACATCCTTTTCGTTTCCTCCCAAGTATTTAAATCTCCCAACAGATTTTTGCAGCCCTAGGCATTTCCTTTATTCGAATACGATTAATAGAATGTCTGGATTTGGCAGTGAGCATATATGTGTTGGGTTGCTTTGCTTGCCCTCATCTGCATTAATTAATGCTCGAATTTTCTGGGTTATTGAGCCCCCTCATTCTGCATGTGATCGTCTGTCTGCTGATCTTTTGTTTCCGTTTTTCATTTCTCAAATTTGAACTAGTCCTAGTCGTAGGGCTTCTTTGAATAGAATTTTGATCGTCTGGTTTAAGCTAAAAGATTTAGGGTAGGCTTCTTTAGATGATGCATGGATAAATTGGTGTTAGCCCTCTAAACTTAGCTAAGCCCATCCTACGTTTTTTGTCTGTATCTGGGGTTCCATTCTGTTTGACATTACAACAAAAATCAGGTAAAATCATATTCAAGTTTTTTTTTTACGAAACAAACATTTCAGTGGTCGAAAGAATAATTATTATCCCTAAAAGTCTTAAGATTGAATAAGAATGATGATTTAATCCGAAACCGATAGATTCTGACCCATTTCAACCCAATAGGATTGGGGTTTTTTAAAATAATTTGATTTGGTTTAGGTTGGATTTTATATAGGGGCTAGGTCAGGTCGAGTCAAACTTAGGTCGAGGGTAAAAATATTTCGACCAAACCTGATACAAATGTAATAGTTTATTTTTCATATAAATTTATAGACAGTTGTTATAATACCCCTCTCTCTATAGATTTTTTCTAATTAGGTCCTTATTTTATATTGAGATGGATTAGGTTAGATTTATACTCTAAAAATTTGGGACGGGTCGGTTCAGATTTAGATGGAGTATATATGTTTTTGTGTCGAGTCGGATCGGTGGAGGATATATATTTTTTGATTCGGCTTAGGTTCGGGTGGGGGTATATATATATTTCATGTCAAGTTGGATTGATAAAAACCCGACCCAACTTTACCCGTTGCCATCCCTAGATTCGAGCACAACATCTATATGAATATTTGAGCATTCATTGTCAAACATTTAAGAATCTTTCGAATTCATTGTCAACATTTAAGAATCTTTCGAATAAATAATATCTATAATAATAAATAAGGGCTATCCCTCCCTCTTCTTCCATAAATAAAGTTTTCATTTCATCAAGCAAAAGTCATCCTACCTTATTTACTTCGACTGTTAACCATCCATTTTTCCACATAAGGCCCATCAAAGATGGTCCTGAAAATTACCTTGTGGGCTTGCATTGAGAAATAGATATTGAGATCCAGGACAAGAATGTTTAAAGCATAGCTTTATTTTTAACTTTTCCATAGTTATTTTCCATCTGTGAATTTTTAACGTGTTGAAAGTGTATAATTTTAATTGCTTTTTATTTTTTATTTTATTTTTTTGTCATAACATTGATATCAATTTTGAAATGATCATCCACCGTTGATTTTCATTTTTTTTCTTCCTTCCCTCCTTCGTCTTCTTTTTCTTTGGACTTAGCAATAACTTTTGTCATGTTATTCTTTTATACAAGTTATTTTATTTTGTTTAGTTGGTTCTCTCTCTCCCTCTTTTTTTTTTTGGTATAAAAATGATGTTTACTCTTGTAACATATCCTCTATTTTCTTAGAATTGAATTTTAAAATTGAGTTTGACATATAGTGAGTGAATTATAATTTAAATTGTACTCTTATTTTGACGTATCTCAATGTTTCTGATTTCTTAAATAAAAGTAGGTGGAGCATTGAAGCAGTCATGATAATCGTTGGGTTGAAAATCATATCAGATACCAAATCCAATTTGGTTACATCGACATGGGTTCCCCTGCTAGAAAGGAATTGTTGATAATGCCATGGGAAAATAAAAAACAAAAATGAATGCAACCCATCACTTTTGGAACCCCATAACATGTGGACTTTGAAAGATCGATGGTTAAAATTAATTAGAATTTAATTGAAGTTTGAATTCTCCTCTCCTTTCATCGGTTACCTTGAAAACCATATATAAATAATGAGAATATATATATATATATATATATAAAAGGGTAAAAATGTTAAACGTACACACAAGCCCTGAGGACTTTGGTGGTGTTTTTTTAAATCATAGTAATGGGAAATGGTTCAAAGGGACAGAGAAAATAGAAATAAAGAGGTTAGTATTGTCATAAAATTATAGGACCAGGAGCAATAAAAGAAGTAAATCCATCATTAGTTTTAGATGGTCCAAATCCAGGGGCGTGCATGTGCACCATGTGTGACATAGGCTTGGGAGAGCCGTACCCAGCTGCTACTTCTCCGTCTGAGTGGCTATCACGTGCCCTCTGGACCATGCCAAGCTGCTTCTCCCATCTCTAGATTTACCATGTCACTGTCTTCGATCATCTTCCATCTCCAAACAGCTACCTACACTGTCGTCTAAACCCTTGAGGTAATCACCGATATGTGATCATGTTAGTGGGAGAGGATGGCAATCGGCAATGGAGAAAGCAAGAGAAAAATGCTATTGAAAACGGCACTTTGGAGGGTATATTTTAAGTTGCAAAGCACTCAGGTCGTAGTTATTTAAGGCAGCAGCCGGTGCAACTCTTTCCTTCTCCACTCTTAATAGTACAGTACAAATGTTACATCTTTGTCTTAACACTTCTCCAAATTTCAGGTATGACTGCCACTGCCCTTGGATGTGTTTTCCTTTATTTAAATGATTTGAAATTCAGCAGAGACCCCAGCCAAGAGTTTGACAGGGAACAAGCACTAGTGGAGATTGCTTGGACTGTGCATCACAGACTGGGTGGTCCTGCTTTCTTATTATATACCAAACATCATCATTACCGTATTAAATTTTAATTATTTATTAAACTAATGAAAATGGGTTATCATCTGCTCAAGATTGACACCTGAATCTCCACTTCCCATCTCATCTTAAAACAGCTTTTTTTATACAGTAATGATTTCTTTAATTCCCCTTTAATTCGTTCCATTATTATATTCATTGATGGGTGGTCCTGCTTCGTGTCTATTTTAATGGAAAACTAATATCACAGACATTCTATTCAAGAAAATATAACAAATTCTTGTTTATACCTAAAACTTGAATTTAAATCATCAGATCTTGAGATATCCAATACCATGCAAATCTTTACAAAGGTAATTAGCTGCGTACTTGGAAATTCCATTTAGTTGACAAAAGACATGAAGCAATTACATATTTTCCTTTGGATTGAGTCAATAGAAGAGAAAAAATGAAGGGACGAAACAATTTATGAAATTGGATCGTTGCATGCATATGAAGAGATTAAGAGGAGAGGTAGGTAGTCCACCAGTGTATGAACAGATTAGGTGGCCCTGTCATCGGCGAACAATGTGCTCGGGGAAATTAAAGAGTGAGTGGTTGAATATATGGCAATAAATTTGTGGCCTCAGGTTTCCATTGAAGCTCAATATCTTCAGCTATCATTTTGGCATCAAAGGAGGCACCAAGCAAACCACGCTTTGTAAACCCTACAACGTACAGTCCACGTTCAACTTTCCACCCTCTTGGGAATGCCTCCCGAGGCATACCATCTTCCTCTGAGAGCAAATCTCCCTCCTATTCAGTGCAAAAAAGCTCAACTCAACATTCTAGACGAATTCGGATTCGAAGTAGAATAAAATTTGAAATTCAAATATTAATATCTTCTACACTGCGGTTGTTAATTACCTTCAACCAGTGTGGTACATTGCTTTTGTAACCAGTGGCAAGGATGATGGAATCAAAATCCTCCTTTCTCCCATCTACAAACTCCACGGTACGGTGAATTATTCGCTTTATTCCCGGACAGACCTGGATAATACATTAAGCAAATTAAATTTGAAATGCAAGATAGGTCTACCTACTAGGGTTGAAGAACTAATAGAAAATTATTTTTACTCAACCTTAATGTCACCATTCTGGATCTTTGCTAGTGTTCCAACATCCGAAACCGGTGTCTTTCCGCACTGGCTTTTGAGCTCAAGAGGACCGAGTTTCGGACGATGGATGCCGAGTTTTCCAGCGTCTCCCATAATGAAACGAGAGACCAGAAGTAAAAACCGATCCACGAGGCTTACTGGGAACCATTTCAGCAACCCCATGGATAAACCAAAAGTTGATTTGCCTAACATCTCTTGAGGCAAGACGTGCACCTGCAACATACAGGCCCCTTTTATAAAGAAAGATTGTGCTGCTACTAAAGATGATAAGGTAAATGTAATAGTAATTTGCACAAGGGGGAAATGGAGTTTTAGGCATAAAATTTTGAGCTACCTACTGTTGTTGCGCATGCAAACAAATTCCAAGAAAGTTAAAAAGGTTCACCGGTCCACCCTCGTGCTTTAAGTAGCAGAACTTGTGAGTGAAAAAAATTCTAAAGGTGATCTTAACTAAACATGATTGCAAACTTCGTAAATCCTATGAAAAATATATGCGACAGTGACGAAGAAAATAAGCCAGTAACTAAGCATTTTTCTTCAAAGAAGTTAAAGGGAAAATTGCTTTTAGGTTTATCTGAAAGGATAGAAGCAGGTTCACCGAGTTTCTAACGACGAGGGATGGGCGAGCATTACAGTTGCAGAGATCCAAAGAGACCTCCATGCCTGAATTCCCACAACCAACCACCAAAACATCTTTTCCTCGAAACAATCGACCACTTTTGTACGAACTTGTGTGCATTATAGGCCCACCAAAATCATCCATCCCTTCAATTTGCGGCATCACTTCATCAGCATTCTCCCCAGTAGCAATAATGAGCTACTGAGACACATATTGTAACACCTCCAACTCGTATTCAATCCGGATTCGAGTCTGAGGTGTCACATTGACTTTTTAAAATATTTACAGAACTACTCAGAGCTTATACAATATATATTTTGAATGCATGCCAACTAGAACTTCATATATTAAAATACATATTATTTAACTTTCTTCTGATCTGACATTTGGTAAGGAGAACTGACCTGTCTTGCTCCACATTGCTCTTTACTCTTCTCACTTTTGTAACCTAAGTGTGAAACAATCACACGCTAAGTCTATAACTTGATGAGACATTACATTTATAAAAGAACTCTAATTATTTAAACATGCAGGAACACATCATATCATGATGTCACACCAAAACAATTTAACATTTCATACAATGTAATATACACATATACATAATTCACACTATTTCCATTACTAATCATATTCCCCTATCCATATTCTTATCATTTATGTCTCATAATCATATACTCATATATTCATTCTTTTAAGCCACATATGATTCAATTAATCAAGCAATATACACATCATCTCATATATCATATAATACAATTCATATCACAAAAGCATATACTTTACATGTAATATATATTTTTATTGTTATCTTTTTGTTAGCCTATGTACATCTGTGAGAACTATATATATGTGAGTCTATAGAGGTTATGCACTAATGCTATCGCCACAGCTCGTATAAATGCACCGAAGTGCCGCGTAGAAATGCACTGTAGTGCCATATAATGTCCATAAGGACCACATAGAAATTCCTTAAGAATCATATACATATACCAAGGACCAAGTATGTGTCTCAAAGACCTCATAAATGTTCAAAAGAATACATATATGTCCCGAAGGACCGCACAGACCCTCGACTCTTGGCATGCCAACTATACCCCTAGTTCTCATGACACATAACATGGACATTATCATTTATGTCATTTCACATATTCATATATACACATAGTTCACTTACGCGTAGAACATTTTCATATGATTCACATTTACATGTCACATATCTTATATTCTTTATCACAAAGTCACATAGATCTATGTCATATACCATATATCCAAAGTGCATATAATCACGTAGATCATATCATATAGCTTAGATCATTTCTCGAATGTTCATGTAAACATACATATCATATCTTGTTCACATATGATCATATATATACTTCCTATAGCACATAAAAACACCTAGAACACTTCCACATAGCTTATATCAATTTTCTGAGTCCTTTCATATTATTTGATAACATATATCATATATGTATATAATAACTTATGTCATATCATCTACCTTATGCTTCATTTCTTTGTATTCCCTTAGATTACATAAACTATGTCGTATTTTTAAACATATATCATTTAATAGTATTTTATTTATATATTAATTTAATCTATTTACTTAATTCAATTTCATATATTCCTTATAACCTTTTCATATAGCTCCATAAATCTTTAGCATATAACTTATCTTATATATTCGTATCATCCCTTTATATTCAAGCTTCCTAAATGATATACTATTCCCATTTCATTCTATAATTCAATCTTATTTAGTTCCCTTAACTATTATTAAATCAAAAAGCTCTATTATACTAATTCTCATAATGGATCATACAACTATGTACTTGTCAAACTCATGTTTCTATTATGCATGTACTGTTACACATGTTTACCTAGTTCCTATCACTTCTCATGAACTCACTTTCATCATATTTACCTATTATTACATATTTTATCTCATAACCATGTATTCACATAGTCTTATATTTATTCTCCTATGACTCTTCATAGACATCTATTTCCATTTCCATATATCACTTGACTTATCTTCTATATTCCTATAATTTCATAACTTATTTTATATTCTCCCATTAACATTTAATAGTGTTTTTACATAAACCACGTAGCACATACAAAAACATATCAATTCATATAATCAAACATACATACACTTCATGTTGTTAACATACTTATAATCAAGACTTAATGAGCTATTACTATAGGAAATAGACTTATCACAAGTCCAATTTCCATATAATCTTATAAAAATAAGATGCACTCATCTTGGCCTCACTACGTTCCAAACCACTTTTATGATTTCCTCTTTTTTTATCGAATCTTAACTTGATAATCGTTCTGGAACTTGTTCATGTTCGATATCTACATAACCATACATTGATATATATCAATATCCAATTGATATCCTCTAATCTATCATTTCTTAGACCAAAAGAAAGGTCTATTTCTATTTCCCCTTGAAGTGCATTGATACATTCTACAGTGCATCGATGCATTCTTTAACATGTGCATCGATGCACTACCCATGCATCGATACACAAATCACCTTCGATGTTTTAATTTTAAGGGGATGCATCGATGCACTAATTGCATTCGATGTTTCTTCTTTAAAGAGTACATCGATACACATTAAATATGCATCGATACACCTTTCCCAGAATTTGCATTTTAAGCTCGAAAACCATAAACTCTTCACTCAATTCTTTTATTTTGAGCCCCTATCATGTCATTAAACTCAACTACCATTACTTAAACCAACTTATATCCATATAAACCATCTTTATCTTCCATATTTCATCATGATTTTTAAAATTTAAGAATCTTACTAAACTTTCAACTTTGTTATTAATCCTTTATAACTTCATAAATCTCTTATTCTTATTGATGGCAAGTCAAATTCAACTTTCAATTCTTATTATAAACTCTATTTCAATATTTCACTCAAGAACTCCAAATCTTTAATCTTCCCTAACTTCTTTATCTTTTGATTTTAAGATAACTTAAGCTTTCCTTAAGCTTAGTTATCATCTAATGATCATAACCCAACCTTAAATTTAACCAGAAATTATCTAAATAGAAGACTCACCTTTGGTTCAAGCCCTCACGTATGAAGAATGAATAAGAGAAGAGAACTCTGGAACCTTTTGATTTCTTCTCCCTTCCACCCACGTGTATGTATAACCATATTTAATTATTTTCCTTGCAAATGACCCTTTTGCCCTTCAATTCATCTAATAATTACTAACAACTTTTATGATTTATTTCCAAATAAATCATTGAACTAATCCATTGTTCTACTCGAGTCACCAAATTCTGAAACTTTACAATTTGATCACTAACCCGGTATTGAGGATGTTACAAATCTCTCCTCCTTTAAAAAAATTTGTCATCGAATTTTCACTGAACATATCAATAAGAACATATCTTCTAATGTTCTGATGCTACCTCCTTTACTTAATATTTCCTTCCTTTATTTCTTCAACTATCTTTTTTTCCTTTATACATTTATCTACTGTCACTTATCATATACACAGTAGCCCATAACCTCAATCCATTTATGTCTTTTCTCTCTTTCGATTTTGCATTTTCCTTTGACCTTTCTAAAATCCATATAATGTCACTCATTACATAGACAATAACATCCATTTTCATCACTCAACATCATAAATTCATATCAAACTACCTTATAATAATAACCAAATTCATTTTCCATCATCATTTAACCAAGAACACGACCCTAAATCTTCTTTAAATATGATTCAACATACACTTTAAAGAATATTTTTACATCACCTTGCACACTTTTCTTACTTCTATGTCAAAATTATCATCTACACTTCCATATTACCTTTATCGTATCTGATCCTTTAACTCAATCCTTTTCATTTCTTTATTCCATTATTCCTTTATTTATTCCTTATACACAAATCATATCTTTCCTTTCATGTTCACATACTCTTGTCTTATCACCTACACTCATTTGTATGTACCAATCTTCATTGCATCCTCATAACTTTGATAACCCATTTCTTATACAGAACTTCATTCTTTATCATTTCTTATACTTGTATTTTTCTTCCTTAAGGTTCTATGCAAATACTTATCTCCTTTTCTACATCATAGCTATCTGATCAAAATACACCACTATATCAGATTCACAACATAATTGATTAACTCAACTTTATCTTTTCCTCCAATCTCATAACTCTATCACTTTTACTCTGATAGCTAGTCAATAACATATGTTCAATCTAGGGCACAAGCCTAGTCAACCAATCATATATATCATTTCCAATCGAAATTATCTCAAAATTAGTTTACTTAACTTATCAATTTCACCTCTATTCTCATACATGTAATTTACGTTGTTCAAACTCAACATTATGACTTCCTTTGTCTTATAAACTGATCATCGATATACACATTCTCAAACTCTTCTTATCAATACTCAACTTTACTCAAATATACAAATCCTTATTTCCTTTACTATACCACATTACTATGATCCAAATATACAACTGTATCCAGATCCATTACAGATTTGGTTATCATATCCTGATAATATCTTATAATCTTATACTTCCAGTACATTCCTATCACATATTCTTGTTAGCCAACGCTAACTTTTTCCTTCTAAAATGCAATCTCTTTTTATATCCACATTTTTGCTTATGTACAACAGTATTCTTTGTTTCAACTCATAAACTCTGGCTTTCTATATCTTATACTCTTGTCATTAATGCACTTATTCTTGAACTCTTCTACAAATTCTAACCACATCTTTAGATCTTTTAACTTTCTTATGGTGACACTTGTTCACCATATTCTATCTTATCCATAAAATAATAAGAATACTTCACATCACTCTTCCGATTCAAAACAGTGAAAAGCTTCTATCACTATTCTAATATGATTTCAACTTTCTGAAATCAACATTTAATCTTATAAGACACTTTCTGAGGTTTCTGCTCTTCATCCTGCCTGGCCAGGGCAGGTGAATTGCTATCACCATCAGATTTGTCGACTATCAATTTACTTTACTTTGACAATTTCTAAAATCAATTTCTACTATATTATACAAATCTTATTCTATTATCAAGACAACATTCTCCTTACACTATCAGATCAGAAAATTTCACTTTTAGTTGGCATGTACACATTTTTAAACCTCATTTGACTTCAGTTCAAGCCTAGAA